AAGCTTCAGACTCTCGACCGCGTGACTCCAAACTCACGCCAAACGGCTACCCTTTCGACTCGCTACGCCTGCACTCGACTGTGGACTCGAACTCACATACGGCTTCACTTTCGACTATGCTCCAGGCTCCTAGGACCGTGGACCCCGAACTCGCGCTTATACGGCTTCACTTCCGATCGGCCCAGACTCCTAGGATCAAGACCCGAACTCAAGGCTAAATGGCTACGCTTTCGACTATGCTCTGCACTCCTAGGACCGCGAATTTCGAACTCGCCTGTCAGATCCATAAGCTCCGCTTGACCGATTCCTAAACTAACTAAACTAACTCTCTCGATCCATGGCGCACTAACGCCCGGTCCGCCGACCGCCTTCGCCCGATCCCACAAGCAGCGCATCGATGCCAAAAGATCAATGAGCTCACGATCCGGAACTAAGTTATTCCATCCAAGGCGCCAAGACCGACGCCAGTGGTTTGTCCTAACTAACCTCACCCGATACCTTCATGCCAGACGACGCCAGATCGCTGAGCTCTCTCACGTCCGAACCATCTTTCACTCGATCCACGGCGCGATCGACGCCGGATCGTAAGTTCTGCTCAATCCAAATCCCCGTGCCTAAACGCTTCGATCGCATAACGGCGCCTTGGTTAAACAAAAATCCGTCTCGCATTAAAAACACGCACACGCTCATAAACAACACCCCTGATTTGTTCGTCCAACCGCCTGGGGCGGGCTACACCCGCTTAACAATGTAAAACCTCCCCTACGACAACGCAGAAAACCCCAGTGGTTCTGCCTGAACCACCCGGGGCTCGGGGTTACATCGCCCAGGCGCTGCCAGCACCCACCGGGTAAGACAAAAATCCCCGGACGATTTCGCCTGAATCGCTTAGGGCTCGGGGCTCTGGCCGGGTCTATAAACCCGGGTCCCTCGGGACCGGCTTCCACGCTTAAGGCTCGACCCGAGAGTCTAAAAATAACAGGCAAAGGGGCGTCCAAAGAATCTGACCGGAAGGCTCTAGCCTAAGAAGAGCAACGCCTGCCGGGCACCATACTTCGCCCACCTATCCGACCGAGCGCTGCGCTGCTCCAAATTCTTCCCGGACGGCCTCTCCGATCGAAGGCCTGCCCCGAACCCTACTTCCGACTCCGACCCCGTGTCTCTTCGACCGGGGTACGTAAGAACCCTGCTCACCGCTCTTCTTCGACTGGCGCAACCGAAGCCGACTGGGGCCATCCGACCGGGGACGCCTGCTCGGAAAGGACCAGGGACGAACGGAGAAAGCAGCACACGAGTGAAACCACGGTATAGGAACCATACCCCAGACACCTGCATGGGAACAAAGGCTCCACAACCGCCTGACACAAACAGATTGTAGGCGCCGACATTTATCCCTATAGTATTTTAGGCGACGCTGACACTCCCGCACGGCAAAAAGCCCCTCACATGCCTCTGGACATCAATAGTGTTGTAGGCGTCGGGATTCACCATGCCCGGTAAACGTGGTGAGGCTCCTCACATGCCTCTAGGCAAGCACTATTTTGTAGGTACCGACATCAACCCTTCCTGAAGAAGACAACATAACCTCCCACGCACACCGACATTCTATAGTAACATCAACAGTTGTTGTGGGCGCCTACCATTATCCAATCCTCACCGGCGTGGGCAACAAGGCTTAAAAGCATCCGCACTCTCTCCCTCTCACTGTAAAACCATCCCTTCATCTATAAAAGGGATACACTCCCTCCAAAGAGAGGACCGATTCATTCAAGCTTAGTTCCTTTATATTCATTAGTCCAATAGCTCACAACCACGTAACTGTCAGGTTCGGACCTCAAGCACATGCTTGAACACTTAGCTCATAGCGGAGTTCCTTGTCGCTCTTGGCCCTTCCGACCGGAGCCGACCGGCCTCGACACCCCCGCCTTTCTTCTTCTCGCTTGTAACCTCACTGCAGACTTCGAGCACTGGCTCTGGAATAAAGTCACCGATCAACCCAAATCGGACGTAGGGCACGCTGTTCGAACAAGTATAAATCATGTGTCATTGAGTGCTATGCCACTTCTAATCACAACGACAAGCAAACTAAAAAATATTCACTAGTTGGTCACTTTCTATACCGACACCGGCCAGTATTATTTCTCTCTCTCTCTCTCCTCTCCTCTCTCTTCCACGTCGACAAGATTCAGTCGCTTTGCAGCCTGCTATTATACTCGCTCTTTAGCAGCATCTGCAGGCGCAAAGTCGTCATTGCCACTCCATGCATGAGTTTGCGAAACATTTAGTGGCTACGTACTAGTAGTAATAATAATACAATTAGGCCACTCCAAGCATGAGTTTGCGATACATTCAGTGGCTATATACAGTAGTAGCAATAATACAATTAGGGATTAATCGTGAAATGACAACCTGTAATTGTGAATAAGATCTACGTGTGTCGTCTTGTTGCTTGTTTAACACAAATGAGAAAAGACACTGCACAAATAGCATAGTTGCAGCAAGACAATTTTTGAATTAACCATCGCTCATCCAGATTTTATATGTTATCACACACCAATCAAATGGTTGTCACTGCTTGAAACATCCCAACTATCAGTACAGTCCCTAGAAGAATAGATGGAAATACTTGTGTGTGCTGTTACCTTGGCTAGTAGATTGGACAAATCCATGATGCAAAATCATATATTCTCTAACTGAAACTCTGAAAGGAAATTACATCTACTTGTGCTGACAGTCCAAAGACAATTTTATTGACAGACCCATGCAACCATATGCACTATTTAACTTAAACTTGCGCTCTGAATACCATCTATAGAGAAAGCACACATCCAAAATAGCATAGCACTTCACTTATGGTGAAGTCAGTGTGTGTCATACTTGGATTGATTAATATCTCTCGACCATGTAAACAGTATTTTTCAACAACATTCGGTAGCAAAAAAAAAAAGAGTAATTTTCAACAACAAGCACATAGAATAGTTCAGTCCACTAGTAGATGCTAGCCTTAGAAAATTCATTTGCCAATACAGATTTATCTTCAGAAGTTCCTGGAAACAATTGCCAGCGTTGAATTCACCATTATAGCTTCTTCTGATACTTCCTGCACCACAGTTCCAACAATCAGGAGAATACATATATATGGCAGCAAGGTTCATCAAACAAGCTCATGGGGAGTTACTGAAACATCCTATGAGCCAGCAAAGACAACTCAATAGCTTTGTACATCATCATATACTGTTCACGGTATGCAGAAAGAAAGGACCGGGTGATTAATCAATCCACAGACCTGAAGGGCGGCGAGCGGTCATTGAACTACTGCTTCATGGTGCCGCATTCCAACATCCAGGAGCAAGGTCTGAAGATCGGGCGAGGACGTAGGCCAATCTCCTCCCTCCATCTCCGCCACCGTCACCATAGCCGTGGCGCGACCGATGGGGATGGGAGCTGCCTCTGCTGGGTTGTTGCCGTGACCAAGGGGGGGGAGAGGCATTTGATGTTGCCGCTGCCACCAACTGTGGTGGAAGTTGTCGCGCCGCCGCGCTTGCCTTGATCTTCCCCACCGACGCCACGCCTTCGCTCCAACGCTGCTGTCGCTTTCGACATTTAGAGCCCGCTTGGCCGGGCTCCTGCCGCCCGACTCCCACATCAGAAGCGCAATCAGAAAAGCGCAGGAGCTAGAGCCGGGAGAAAAAAAATGGGCCTCGCTCCGCGCTTGTCGTTGAGAGAGAGGAAAGGAGGAGAAAAAAACGAATTCAAACAGTGTCGGGATATGAACTGGGGAGCAGCCAGAGGATCCGGCCCACCAAACGGGCTCTTAGATCCGCTCGGGGAAGAAGGACGAGGAAACGACATACATGGTGATCAAGACCGTCAACCGTACGCTGGAAGGAGCCCCTCCTCCGCACTCAATACTCCATCAGTCCATCTACCGCCCTGCCGGCCAACCAGCCTCCATACATGCTTTTCGTCCCTCTCATCCACGTCAGATCCACGGTGTCCTGCTTACACTCAGCCATTCATGTCCGTTCCCAATCTCCACGCCCGCTCCCATTCATGTCCGTTCGATCATGGTGGGTACCTCCCGCCGGTTGTACCAAATCCGCGTTCCATTTTTTGTGTATCAAACACTGTCCTTTTCACTGACACTCTGACAGTAGTTTGTTGGACCGAATTTACACGGCATCGAGCAATTAGGGAGGACATTAAAAATGACAAATAAGAGAAAATGCTAGTGAGTTGATCAGGCATCGGTCAACTGACTAGGGTGGCCTGAAATGAACCGAGAAAGACTCGCATATAGGCTTCGCTCGCTTGCTGAAACTTGGTTGAAAGTGGCTAAAACACTGCTTCCGGCTGAAATGTTGCGAGAGAAAATACTGTTCCGGCTGAAAAAAAAGCCCGAACAAGCTGGATATAAGGTAAGTCGAACGGGACATATTGGCTTCATCTACCAGAATTGCCGGTGACAAGCAACCATGACTTTTCCATGTTCCTTGTCTAGTGCTGTGCGGATGAAATATTCCTAGGCTGTACAGTAATTCACCTTGTTTCCCTGCCCTTGTTTGTTACTGCACCATTCTACAATTGATTTTCCACGAAACTTCAATGCAACTCTTCGAGCTCTATCAACTTAATGCCTGTTGGCCTATTCCATTCAAACATGGAATAAGTAGCTAGATATTCTCATCGTTGACGAAGACTTCTTGACCAAATTTTCCATTGCAGAGACCATCATGCACACATTCCCTCTCAAAGCCTTGGACATCACTGTCTTCTCTTAAGTTCTCATCTTACCACGCCGTGCGATCCCCCCCCCCAAGACATATCTATACACAGGAAGGTGTCCACCATTCACGACTGCAATTCAATCAAACTCTGCTGTGAGGCAAAATGCAAAATGAGCCAACACGTTGGGCTTTGGGCCAAGACAAAACAAAGTGGACTTTGGGCGGGCCCAGCTGGTCAACTCTACACCGACGATGAGGTGACAGGGAGCTGGGATGGAGAGGGACGCAGCATGCTGCGGGGCCGAGCGCCGTGGGGAGAAGGGAAGAGCGCGTGTCGCCGGCACCGGAGCAGACGGCCGAGGTGACGCCACCTTCCCCACCACAAGCGCAAGCGCCTCGAGGAGTCAAGGTATGGTCGCTTTGCTCCCCAGTCCCCACCTCACAGTCCAGAGTCCACAGCCTGTTATTCTGTTCCGATTGCAGCAGGAAGCAGAGTAGCCTGGCTTAGTTGAATAGTTGATGCATTGCAATTGCAACAGGAGGGTCTGTGGTTGAACTAGCCTACGAGGAATAGTAAAGCACAAATAATTAATGGCTCAGATGTAATTTTAATACTGTAGACACAGGATAATCCTCCTTTTAGCTTCAAAGCTTTATGATCTTCTTTGGGTATTTCTGATCTATTTTATTCTTCAGAGATAATCCTCTCTTTTTTCCTCAGTTGCAGTTTTGTGTTTGATTTTATACAGACATGGTCCCTTTTTCCCCCTCAGTTGCACTTTTGTGTATCAAACACTATCCTTTTTCACTGACACTCTGACAGTAGTTCGTTAGATCGAATTTACAAGGCATCAAGCAATTAGGGGAAACATGTTTGAAATAAGAGAAAATGCTAGTGAGTTGATCAGGCATCGGTCAACAGACTAGCGTGGCATGAAAATGATCTGACGAAGACTCATATATTGGCTTCATCTACCAGAAATTGCCATGACTTTTCCAAGTTCCTTGTCTACTGCTGTGTGTGGATGGAATATTTTCAGGCTGTATTCCACCTGCTTTTCCTGTCCTTGTCTGTGACTTAAGTGCAACTCTTCCACATCTGTCGAAATGATGCCTTTGGCCTATTGCGTTCAAACATGGAACTAATTAGCTAGAGAGGTTCTCATCTTTGACGAAGACTTCTTGACAAGTTTCCCTTGCAGAGAGCTACCAGAGAGCAGAGACCATCATCAACAAGAAACCTCAGCCCTCTCGATCAGGCTTGTCTACCACGTTCCCCCCTCTAAGCCTTTTACATCACAGTCTTCTCTTTGACTTTAAGTTCCCATCTTACCACACCGTGGATTTTGCCCTCAAGACATATCTATAGACAGGATAGCTGTCCACCGTTCACGTCCATGCAATTCAACCAAAGGTATGTTCTTCCTCCCATTAATTAAGCTAAATCATTTCCTGTAATCCAAAGTTCATGTGTCTAATCTCTCATCCAAAGTTCATGTGTCTAATCTCTCATCGATACTGTTATCTGTTGAATATCGTGAACAGGGAAGGGATATTGTAGATGCTTCAATCCTAATGGCGGAGATTGTCGGTTCTGCAGTTGTTCAGGAGTCAGTAAGCCAAATCGTATCTGGTCTGCTTCAAAAATATGAAGATAAACACAACTCAAATGCGTTCCGAAACCTTGAGAGGCTAGAGATGGCACACATCAGGCTGGAGGCTGTTCTTCAGACATCTGATAAGTGGGATATCACTGATACATCCTTGTTGCGTTGGCGTAGGAAGCTTAAGTCTGCTGCTCAAGAGTGTGATGACACGCTGCACAGATGCAGGCAGAGAATCCTAGAAGATGAACACATAGAAAAGGAAGTAAGCAATTCCTCCCTTCCTAAGCGGGTTGTGCATGCTACGAGGTCATTCGTTTCTTCTATCTTTAACCACAACAATGATGACTTGAATATATCCATTGTTCAAAGATTTGAATGGTTTGCTGATGGTGCTAGCGAGTTTCTGAGATTACTAGAGCTTGGTGGCACGCCACGGTGTCACATGCCCTTTGACCCTCTTATCAAGCACCTTCTTGCTGGCAAGATACTACAACATAGAATCATTAGAGCAAACAAGTGCCCATTATTTCTACTGTTAGTGCCATTTATAACTGCAGATCATGGAATAGAAGGTAGGATTTACTTCATGCAGAAAGATTGTAACGCGTCGGATGATGATTTTACCTTAATATAGCGCTACAGCTTTCAGACAGTACAGACATAGTTGGGGTTGCAATTCAGTGCTTACAGCTGTTTGACCATCTTTCAAGTCTACAGTTGAAAAAATTAGGAAAGAACTTATGCAACTACCTACAGAAGAATTCTCGTGGCTTCCATATGTTGATTCACCCCAGCAAAATTATTGGGACAATCTTCACAGGCGTGTCACCAATGGTTTCGCCCAAACCCATTATGTTGCAAGCAGCATGATAACAACAACTTTTTTCATGGTAGCAGGCTAGACAAATCATCTGGATTTCCATATGTTTCTCTAGAACAGGTTATTCATGTAAGTCTATCGTGCCATGTCTCACTCTCAGAGTGCGACAAACAGAAGGCCTCACAGTCAGACTGTAGAAGTTTTCTACGTGATCATCCATATCTGAGAGCTGGAGTCGTCTTTGCACTACATGGCTCTTCAGAAGACGTGTTGCTTGTGGATAAGTTTCCTGCAATAGCGGCAATGTACAGTGAGGAGCAACATTGTTTGCATACTGTCTTTACCTTGGGACAACTCGAGGAGATCATGCTGCCAAAAGCAGTAGATTACTTCTGCCAGAATGAGGAAGCTACAGTCTACCAGATTCTTTGGAGGTCTAGGCATGGCACTGCATACATTCAGGTTGAGAGAGCAAGCATGTTCATGCCAAGCACACGACAAACGTTTCATGGAGCTAAGAGAAGGAAGCTATTGCAAGGACAGGGTGAGATGTTGGAGTGTGTAACATATAGGGCCTCTCGATTCCTTGAGTTATGGGCTACATATGCACCCATCCAATTGCATGGCTCGATCTTCATATGAGGAAATAAAAGAAAACAGAAGCAGCACATCACTGCCGCCTGAAATTCGTGATCACATCTGTACCATGGATCCATCAGCAAAAGATGGAGAAGCCATAAAAGAATGGAGTGTTCCATGAAAAGATAGAAGTGTGGAATTTACTGTTCATAACCGAGAACAGATTTGTCAAAACAACAGATCCAGTGCATATATTTTCAGATCTTGAATTTTGGGATAGATGCTCTGACTACAGGGTCAAGACAAAACATAGAAGCAGAGCTACAGCACGGAGGAATTTATGTGTTACTCACTAGCTAGCAACTTGTGTATAATGTTGGTCTTAGTTGAGAACCCTGTTCTGAATTAGGAATGTATGTGAGCATTCTGTATGGTGGTGCTTATATATTAATCATGATCGTATAGTGTCTGTCCCATGGTTACAGAATTGCATTGTACAAATAAGTATAAGATGCAACTGCATTTTAACTACTGTTTTGTGTGTAATCACGTAGTACTGTTACCTACTACATTCAAGAAACTAAACATTAAATTTTTATATGTTTATTACTTATGAATTATTCCTTTATTATTGAATCCAGCAAGTTTTAGTTTGATGAGAAACTGTCAATTCTATAATCTCATGTCGCCTAGGCATGGGCACTGGGAAGGCGGGATGAGGGAGCTCTTTACAATGGTTGAAAAAAGTACCACCGTACTTCTAGATACTTCCATTTTTCCTATTTTCTAGTCATTTAATCGTGGAAGATTATTTATAAAATTAAAATTTTATATTATTAAGGGTGTATTGGTAATTATTTGCTACATGCTCTGCAGACCGATCTTGCTGTCCCTGGGCGGCATCGGCATCGCCATGCTGACACTGCTAGACGTGTCAAGCAATGTGCTCACTGGTGCATGCAGCTCATCAACAGCTCAAGCTCTCGCTCAACAACAATCAGCCAGGGTCACCTGAACTCGGCAGTTTAGTGTCCCTCAACGTGCGGTCGAGAACTCCGCCCATTTGGTCAGCCGAGCGGTCAAGAATGGCAAGGGCCGGGCTGCCTGCACGGAATGACGGGATCATGGCAAGGTCCAGGATCTAGTGGCCTGCAAGCTCGGCCTAGCATTGCTCCTGCTCGTGTGTTCCCTAGCTTCCGTTCAGCTCCCAGCTACTGCTAATACAGGGCAGTCGAGACCGAGCTCTGCCTTGCCTTGCCGGAGTTGAACAAGAGGCATACACAGCTCTGCCTTGAATAGTTGCAGAAGAGGGGCGTGGCCAGCACGACATCAGGACCGGTGCCCGTGTGCACGAATGCCTTGTTGGAGAAGCGCGTGAGTCCACTGCTCCTCGGCTGCCCTGTGCCGGGGCCTCCGGGGATGCGTGGCAGGAGACGGCTGCAGGTCCAGGAATGCGGATGGCAAATTCCAGTTTACTACTGACCTTACTAATCTTGATACCGTCCTTACTTTTATAGTATTTCTAAGAATTTCTAAGATGACAGGGCTCTAAATGACTATGAGCGGTACATTCAATGAGATCGGATGGCTAGTATGATATATTACTTCCTATGAGGTAATATGTGAAATATTAATTTATTTATTAATTAATTTGGTAAGATATTATAAACAAGGAAAGTTTAGATATAAAAATCTTTTTCTAGATCTATTTGATATGGTAAATCCTTTTACTTTGCAACTTTCATCATTGCATAATTTGATTAGTATATACTACCATAATAGCTAATGTACGTAACATAATTTGATTATTTTTTTGAATTCAACATAATTTGATTATTTGATTAGCATGTAACTTTTTGTTCCCCTGTACATGATAGCTACATGTTTTAGCGTGTTTCGTTCCCAATGTTCATTAGTTGACATGCAATATGTTTTAATTTAGATGTTCCCAAATTTTTTTTGTAGGTAACATGTTTTTTCAAGTAATTACGTAATATGGTGGTGTGCGCACGGAGAAAAAAAAACGCCTCCTCGCTTTGTGCTGGTACACTGTGCACCGATGGGAAGGAGACCGCTTTTTTCTAATCACGGAGGCAAGTGTACCCCCACTTCGTTTGTCCCAGTGATTACTAGATTTTAGAGATTTCTCTCTCATTTATTAGGTAATTTATTTATTTGTTTAATTTATAAAATCTAATAAATCAATGGCTAAGATTGCTTCGAACTATTACCTCCTAGTAGGTAATAGTTGTACCATAGCACTGCCCTTATAAATAATATTGTTCAACTTTTTTCATCATGTTGTCATAAAGTACACATATAAATGCTATGTATTCTTCAAGCAAAAATTTAAAAGAACCTAGTTCTGAAACTAATGTACCACTAAACTAGTATTTCTTTACTTTTGTTAATTGAAATAAATGTTTTAAATAAATGAATTATATAAATATTTCAACGTTATCATTCAAGCATGTAAACTTGATCTCATATACTAAATAAAAATATAATGAATGTTCATGATAAAATAACTAATACCAAACCCTAGTTTACTATCTAGACATAGATGCAAACAATCCCTTCATAAATACTATTAAATAGACCACTAAAATGAACACATGGCCCTTATCCTATCATATATTCTTATAAAGCTAAACACCACTAGAGATTTCTCTCAATATGCAAGCCTATCCACATCAACAATCCACTAGAACTTGCAATTATAGCCAACTATCACATGTAATTATGATAGTTATATATTCATCCACTAACATGCATTTAGCTGTCTACATCGATGTGTCAAACCATTCACCAAAGTTAATTTAAGATAGTTTCATTCATATACCTATAAATATAAATAGTCTAATTTCTTTTTAAATTATCTGGAATCCCCGCAGCAACGCGCGGGGTGTTCTCCTAGTACTCTTATAAAGCTAAACCCCATTAGAGATTTCTCGCAACATGCAAGCTATCCACATCAACAATCCATTAGAACATGGAATTATAGCCAACTAGCACATGTAAATATGATAGTTATCTCTTCATCCACTAACATGCATTTAGCTGTCCACATCGATGTGTCAAACCATTCACAAACCCCACTAGAGATTCTTCTCAACATGCAAGCTATCCACGTCAACTTTCACTAGAACTTGCAATTATAGCCAACTAGCACATGTAATTATGATAGCTATCTCTTCATCCACTAACATGCATTTAGCTATGCACATCGATGTGTCAAATCATTCACCAAAATTAATTTAAGATAGTTTCATTCATATACCTATAAATATAAATAGTCTAATTTCTTTTTAAATTATTCGAATCCCCTGACAATGCGCTGGGTATTCTCCTAGTTTCACACAACTAATAAAAAAGACTAAAGAGTGGACACCGCTTTGGTGCGACAATCGAATTAGGGGTCGTCGCTCTACCCGTATGCGATCCGCGGCCTCTCTCACGCGCGTGAATGCTCCCTCCGGCAAAAAGAAAGGAAACTCGTCCGCACGAACGCTTCGTCCGGCAAAAAAAAGGAAGTCGTGTTCCCAATCAGTTCCCCATGCGATCTCCTTCCCATGTCCCGCGCGCTCCCAAATGCTCTTTCCAAAATCCCACCTCCAATAACGCTCTTTCCCATCGCGCAACCGCGCCCGCGCGCCTCAACCTGCGTTGTAACACTCTAAAATTTACAACATTTTAAAATAGTGGAAATTAATTTATTATTCATTTTGTGAGCATTTGAATTTAGGAAAAATAATAAATTTTATCAAATTAAAATCAAATGTAGGTTCATAATCATGTGTGTGCATTCATGATGCTGCATAATGGTTTTTGAATGGTTTGATTTGAAATCAAATTTCTACTTGATTCGAATTTTGCCTTCAAAATTGGTTTGAAAAATAGAAAAGGGATTTCTTTCTTCCTCACCTTCCTTTTGGTCCGTAGGCCTGCTTCAGCACGCCAGCCCATTCTTCCCAAATACAGCCCATCTCCTCAAGACCGCAAGCACAGCCCAGCCCATCCAGCCAAGCTGCCGTGTTCGCGCCTTTCCTCCGGCCACTGACCGCCTTCTAGCCCACCAGTCAGGCTTCTTCTCCTTCGTCAGACTCGGCCGGACACCACGCCGATGTCCGTGTCCGGCTCAGCTACGCTCCGCGCCATGCCTCCCAAGCAATCTTCGCCTCATAAATAGCCGGAGCCGCCTCTGCCGCCTCCCTATCCCATCTAGCCGCAAGCTTTTTCGCCCAACCCAGCCACAGCAGCCTGCCGCCTACTAAGCGCCACAGCAGGCCACACCATGACCGCCGAAGCGTCACGCCGCCTCCGTTGCTCCTCGCTAGCTCCTCTTGGGTTCGTTGAGTCCGCCGTCACTCCCTCTATCTCCCGGTGCTTCTTTTTCGTTTAACCGAGCACCGTTGGCCAAAAGCCGAAGCTCCGGCGAGCCGGCAATGACGCCGCCGCCGCCGTCGCAAACCTCGCCGCCGGCCCTATTTCGGCGTGGATTTCTCTCTCCCCCCGCCAGATCAAATCTCAGCCGTCCAGTTCTAATCCGACGGTCTCAAATCCAAGATACCCCTTCGCCGCCAGTTTTTCAAAAACACCCTTACAATTATTTCAGACTTAACCCGCAGTCCAAAGCGTGTTTTCAAGATTCTGTTTTCTCCTTTGGAAAGCGTATTTCGGTTCGGTTAGATTAAAAATACGTTTTCAGTTATTTACAGTTTTGCCACTCAACTTGTTTTAGCCATAAAATCTCCGTTTTAACTCCGATTTGATCCGTTCAAGTTGCGTTAGGTTCATAATTAAGTAATCTACATGTTTGTAATACTGTTAAGTAGGTTTTCAACTTTTAAAATTTGAGGTTAGATTTAATCTATTATTTTTCTATAGGAAATCTTGTTTAATTCATAACTTCTTCGTTTTAGCTCCGATTTTTGTGATCTTCGCGTCTGTGTGTTCGTAGCGAGACATAGATTTGTTTTCCAAACTTTTCATTTTGGTTTTATGCTATTGGTGTACTGTTCTAATCTATAGCTTTGTTTGCTTTGCATGATTGCTCCTGGATG